ACTTGGCGGGACTGAGGAAAAAACTGTAGTTTGTTCTAATGCACCATGTCATCTGGCTCATTCCCCTTACTGTTCTGTGATCTTAACTGTGCAATTCAAAGGAGAAGTTGCGCAGGTGTTTCCAATGTCATCTTGATATAACCTCTCACGTTTCCAAGCTTACCTCAGTAATTTGCTTTTCTTCCCCCTCCACCTTTCTTATTGCTTTCATAAAGCTGAGCCAATGATAATAAAATCAGTAGAAACAAACGACAGTATAAGAAACAGGTTACCACGGTACACAAAGAGCTGCGGTTTGTTAGAGCCGGTTCCACCGTGCTTAGGTGAGTGATGATTCACTTGGGTTATTTTTTGTGGGTAGATACTTCACTTTGATTACTTCTGCCTTTATTCTGTTTCTCCCTAAATTGTCTAGATATTTTATACCTCTTCTGTATTTACTTGGGGCTCTCTCTGTCTCCTCTCCCAGCCCCCACAGTGACTTCTATGGCAAAGTCTCTCGCATCAAGGTTACAGTTGACACGGTTCTGGCTTTAATGGAAGGTCATTTTCAACAAAAGAATTCTGGCTTGTGTTTGTGTATAACAGAGTTCTGCTCCGGAACATGCAAGATTGATGAGTCACGTGGTGTCCCAGCTGCTCGGAGCTCTGTTCAGATACAGTATGCACTGGCAGAAGGACACCCCAAAACCATAAGTGATTTCTAGGAGTGGGGTCTATCCCCAACAGGGAAGGACTGGGGTGATTTCTAAAGCTCTCTACTGGTGGTTCTATTTATTTCAGACATGAAGAGATAAACTCAGATAGCTAAATGCTCTAATTCAGGCATAAGAAACCATAACTGTACATAGCAATCCCCCCACAAAGCTTTGCATGAATACTTGCCACAAGTAAGCCAAAGTCTTTTCAACATCAATGATTTGTCTGTTGTTGCAACCCCCTGATTTCACAGAATGTCCCACCTCACTTTCACTGCTCTAGAAAATGCTGCACTTCAAAGCTCTCATCCAGAGAAGCACAGAGACGCCTCTTAAAGAGCCTGTATCACATGTTCTTTTTCTTCATCAACATTAACTGCAGCCCCAAATCATTTTCCATATTCAATTACAAGAGTCAGGACTTGGCCCAACTCTAATTGACTCCAGGAATACTTTATTTTTTCATTTAAAAGATAATTTAATTCACTGCCATATGTTTGCTGGAGTGGTTGTCTGATCTTGGCCCGGACAGCAGCTCTGTCCTCGCTGCCAGGTATGGTTTCCAGAGAACTCCAGGACCCACTCTGCTCTCATTGCCACAGTTTTCCCTGGCTTAATCTTCTTTTGTGAACGGAATTTTTTCTTCTGTGTTTTTTTTCCCTCTCTAGTGTCTTTCTCTCTTTTTTTAATCATGAAAGTGTTCACGCTTGAATTGAAATAGTGAAGTCAGCTTCAAATGCTAGATCAAAAATATCAAGGAGGAGCTACCAATTTCATGGTTCACAAAATAATGGTATCAATCTGTACTGTTTAAGAGATACCAGAATCTTTTGACCCCAAATACAAACTCCATTGGCCTTGAAATAATTTTAGTCATATCTGATGACTGAGGAGTCATATTAAGGTTTTGCTTAAAAATTTCCAGGTCAATGACTATCATCGCTGACTTTCATCCTTAAAGGGGTAGAATTTGGGGGTTTTAAGAAAATGCTCATTTGAACATCAGAAGAAGATTCAGAATTGTAGTTTCCTGAAAAACAAAGTGCCCTCATCCAACCTGTAAGTTCACAGAGCCCACTTTTGTGCAGAAGTAGGCTGGCCCTGTATTAATTCAGGTGTGAGATTCCGCTTCTCCACCATAAGAGACAACCATTGCTTGTGTAATTAACTATCTCCAAAACTTAATGGCTTAAAACAACAAGCATTTATTCCTCTTGAGTCTGTGGGTCAGCTAGATGGTTCTACTGATCTGGACTGAGCTTGCGCATGTGTCTGTGATCAGGAGCTGATCAGCTACAGGGCTGGATGGACTAAGATGGCCTCAGCTGATGACAGCTCCTTTCAATCCTCTGCTTATTAAGGTAGCTGTTGTCCTAAAGAAAGTCACATGGCTGAGCCCAGAGGCAGGCAGCATGAGAGGGCATTACCAAAGGTCATGGCTACAGGGAGGCAGGAAAAGTTGGTGCTTTTAAGAAATCAACTACCACCCTTATCCATTTAGAAATAGATGTCAGCAGCCCTCGAGGGCAGAAAGAAGGGCCACTTTCTCATGCTGCTGATGGGTGGAGTCATGGGGAGGGGGGCAATGGAAGCAGAATCCCAGGTTGCCAAATTAAAAACCTAGAATTCTAAGTCCAAATCTGTTGGTCAAACAAGACACCAAGGACAAAACTGTGGTGTCCTCTATAAAGAGGAGCCAAAGAAACAGAAAAGCCTCGAATGGGAACATGGAGCGTAGACAGTCATGAGATATTTTACCCTGCCCCAGGGAGAGAATGTTTGGAAGAACACTGATGCAAAATCTTTGCCTATTTAAGGGCATATAGGGCATAAATTGTATTAAATGGCCATTAGAAGATTCCAACACCTAAAGGGAGATTCTGAAATTTCTATGCGAGGGAGTTTTGTTTTTGTTTTGCTTTGAAGAAATTGTTGTTAGTGTGCCATTTAAAATATATATTCAGACAAATACACAATGTGACCATTCTGCAGGACATTAGACCAGGTTTCTTCAAGAAGTCAATGGCTCAGAGCAATAGAAGTGGGGTTAGACTGTTCTAGATTAAGAGTTAAGGTAGACATGAAATGATGAACAACCAAATACAATATACAATGAGCAGATTATGTTTGGATCTTATATATACAAACCAATTTTTTAAAAGATAATCTTTTAGCAAATAGGGGAAATTTGATTAGGGTCTGGGTGTTAGATGCAACAGGAACTCTTGTTAGTGATATTACATGAAGCCATGCAATGTGGTTAGTTAGTAAAATGTGCCCTTCCTGTCTGAGCTTGATGCTACAGTATTTAAGGCTAAAATAACATGATGCCTGAATTTGCTTTAAAAACTTTAGAGAGAGAAGAGAGGGAGGAAGGAAATTGGTGTGGCAAATTGATGATGGCCATTGAGGTCCCATGGTGATTTCACGAGTTTGTGATTTTCTCTAATTTTGTGTGCTCTTTGAAAATTTATATAATACAATATAAAATTTCATCTAACTTGGGTGTATTACATAGAAAAGGTTTATAAGGACACTGTACTTTCTTTTTTCAACTTCTAAGTGTTCTTATTAACCTCATTCACTATTTTGTTTCTAATTATACACACAGCATATAGTCAATATAAATAAACTGAAAAATACAACAAAGAGCAAAATGAAGAAATAAGGCACATGAAATTATAGATAATTTAAGGTGAAACAAAAGTGATCTATTTATGCAATAAATTTTCTTTTCTTCTAGAGTGGTGTGGAATAAATGGAAGTTTTCAACCAGAATTCCCACCTGGCCTCAATAGTGATATGCATATAAAGGCTTGTTTATACATCAATGTGATGTTTACCACACTGCTGATACATCATGGGATTGTAGGATTGCCAGTTCCAGGGTAAGGGGTGGAGAGTAGCAGCCATTCTCTCCTCCCCTCTGTTTCTGGTACATAAAATTGGTCAGGCACTGGCCAGTCACCAGGGACCTGCCCATGGAGTTTCTCCTAGAAGGGGAAAGGGGAAGTGGAGCATGCCTGGTCCTGTAGAGGAGAGAGAAAGAGAGAGAGGGAGAGAGAGCACCAGGGAGTGGATCCAAGAGAGAGGAGGCTAAGCACCCTGGGAGAGAGAGAGTCAAGCAGCTGGGGTTTCAGTGAACTAGAACAAATAGTTCTAAAATTCATATGGAGCAACAAAAGACCCCAAATAGCCAAAGCCATCCTGTGAAAGAAGAACAAAGCTGGGGGGGGGATTATGTTCCCTGACTTCAAGTTCTACTACAAAGCTACAATAATCAAAACAATGTGGTATTGGCATGAGAAGAGATCCATAGATCAATGGAACAGAACAGAGAGCCCAGATATAAACCCACACATATATGATCAATTAATATACAATAAAATAGCCATGAATATACAATAGGGAAAAGATAGCCTCTTCAACAACTGGTGTTGGGAAAACTGGACAGCTACATGTAAGAGAATGAAACTGGATTTTTGTCTAACTCCATATACAAAAATAAACTCAAAATGGATCAAAGACCTGAATGTAAGTCATGAAACCATAAAACTCTTAGAAGAAAACATAGGCAAAAATCTTTTGAACGTATGTATGAGCGATTTTTTCCTGGAAACATCTCCTTGGGCACGGGAAACAAAATAGAAAATGAACAAGTGGGACTACATCAAACTAAAAAGCTTCTGTACAGCAAAGGACACCATCAGCAGAACAAGAAGACATCCTGCAGTATGGGAGAATATATTTGTGAACAACTCATCTGATAAGCAGTTAACATCCAAAATACATAAAGAACTCATACACCTCAACACCAAAAAAACAAATAATCTGATTTAAAAATGGGGGAAGGACCTGAACAGACATTTCTCTAAAGAAGGAATACAAATGACCAACAGGCACATGAAAAGATGTTCCACATTGCTAATCATCAGGAAAATGCAAATTAAAGCCACAATGAGATATCATCTCATACCAGTTAGAATGGCAACTATTCAAAAGACAAGAAATAACAAATGCTGATGAGAATGCAGAGAAATAGGAACCTTCCTATCATGTTGGTGGGAAAGTAAATGGTGCAACTACTGTGAAGCAGTATGGAGGTTCCTCAAAAAACTAAAAATAGAAATACCATTTGACCCAGTATTTCCAGTCCTAGGAACTTACCTGAAGAAAACAAAATCCCTGATTCAAAAATATATATGCATCCCTATGTTTATTGCCACACTATTTGCAATAGCCAAGATATGGAAGCAACCAAAGTGTCCATCAATAGAGGAATGAATAAAGAAGTGGTACATCATGCTCACTTCGGCAGCACATATACTAAAAAAATTGGAATGATACAGAGATTAGCATGGACCCTGTGCAAGGATGACATGAAAATTTGTGAAGCGTTCCATTAAAAAAAAAGCAGTGGCACATATACACAAGGAATATTGTTCAACCATAAAAAGAAAAGAAATCCTGCCATTTGCAACAACATGGATGGATCTAGAGGGTGTTATGCTCAGTGAAATAAGCCAGGTGGAGAAAGGCAAGTATTATATGATTTCACTTATTTGTAAAATGTAAAAACAAAGCAAAATAGAAGGAACAAAATAGACTCATAGACACTGAGAAGTTAGTATTGGCTACCAAGGGGAAGGGGTTGGGGTGGGAGGGGAACATGAGGGAGATGAAAGGGCATAATAATTCACAATCTAAATATAAATTGGTAACGGGGATCATGGTACAGCCTGGAGAGTATAGTCAGTGATTACATAACATCTTTCTACACTGATAGATAGTAACCATGCTAGAAGGGGTGAGGGTTTGATAATGTGGGTAACTGCTGAACCACTGTGTTGTGCATTGGAAACCAGTATAAGATTGTATATCAAGGATACTCTAATTTTTAAAAAAAGTTGGAAGGACAAACCCTTCTAGGACATCTTCTTCAGTAAATTGGCTCTTAAGAAAATATTTTCAATCAATTCTAATTAAATTCTGGAATATAGAGATTTGGCTGCAATTTTGCTTAGAGACTAGATGAGTGAGTAGTTGGAAGTTTGACAAATTAAATGAGAAAGCCATTTCTCACCACACCAGCAGTTCCATTGTGTCAGATTTCAGGCCTTTACATCTACAGAGACACTTAGTGACATGATGGATTTGGAAAACTATTTTGTGCAACAGAACAAAAGGACAGTGCAACAATCGCCTTGAGTTCCAACTCCAAGTTATTTCAAAACAGCAGCGGTGGCAATTGGCAAACTTTAGGACATAGTGACATGGATAAGGAACATCGTCCTGGAATTATCCAAACAATGCATTAACTCTATCAGTCTGCCACCAGCTCAAACAAATATTTCCTGATAAAGTTTTATTGCTTCCTTAGTAAACAATTTAGAAGCCTTGATCTCTGATGTGATTCAAGCAAAAAAGCAGCTCATTTTATATATGTTGCCTGAGTTTTTCTCTTCTCCTACTCTTTCCAACAGTTGCCCAGACACCTACCCATAGTATTTCCCTGGCATCAATTAGATGTAAAAGATGTGATCACACATTTAGGTGTTACTATTCTCAAAGAGTGCTTGCATTTTTAATGGCATCAAGATCCTAAGAGAATGGTTTCAACCGGAGCAGCACATTAGAGTCACCAGGGAAAATTTAAACAAAGTGAAATAGCAGACAAAGACAACGATGCTGGGACAGGCTCCCAAACATTCTGATTTAATATGTTCTGAGGTAGGACCTTGGTATTGACATTTTTAAGTTTCCCAAGTGCTACCAATGTGCAGCCAGAAAGAACAACTGCCCTAACCTCAAGTGAATTCTTAACCACAAGTCAAGCCACTTCTTGAGAGTCTCTGAAGAGCCTTTAAAGGGTTCTTTAAATCATCTCCAAAATGATCTTTTTCTTTGATTTTAAAATTCATTTGGGAACACATTTATATCTAAGTGTGCTATTCAAGTATTGTTTCACTCAGGAAACCTTTAAAGTGTTTGCCAACATGGGATGCTGTTATGCACAGAAGGGCAAATAAAGTATACTCATTGTAGTTGTTAAAATATTTCTAAACACCTAAAATATTTCATCTATTGACAACCCCATAACATGGACTTCACTAGAGCCCAGATCTGGATTTCAAAATAATATTTTTTACTAAAGGGAGCCAGGAATTCTTGGGGGAAATGAGCAATTTAAGGCCTGGAACATGGAAAATATATAGTGAGGGTAGGAATATCTGTTTTCCCTGAAGCAGGAAAATGTTCAAAGTCTAATGGGGATGTTCTAAAAGGACTCTGAAGCCAGAATGAAGAAATTCCCATTGGCTAAATTTGGGACAATTTGAGCATCACAAGGAATAATAACTATAAAGTGATGGTAACAGTAAATCAATAACAAAAATCCCCCCTCCATGACACTCAAAATTAAACAAAAAGAAGGAAAGAAAAGGAAGAAATTTATTTGCCACTCTTGCAAGTGACTATTAATAACAACTCTTTATTCTGAAAGGAGAGAAAGAGACAGCGTCTCTGCCCTTATTAAAAGAATGGAGGCTCATCTCTAGGTGGTGGAGGAAAGCTCTTCTTTACAGATAGATGCTATGTGATGGAGAACAAGTGGGAGATAATCTTAAACCACCAAACTCCAATGAAATAACTGATTACTGCAGTGATCATTAATGGATATGAGAACCACTGGATAAAAAGTTAATAGGATTTCTGCTTTAGTTAAGAATGGAGTAACAGGGATAAGATATATCTTAAAACAACTAAATCATCAAACAAAATACATGAAAAAATGACACTCAAGAAATTGGACATAAATTAATGAAGGACAATGATCACTGAGAGACTGAACACAAATGTGAGTCCTGTGAATGCCCAGTTTATTGTTGGCAGTTTCCAGGCTACAGTGCGGGGAAGGGAACTACAGGCAGCGTACTGGTCTCCCTGAGTTGGGTTGATGGAGCTGGCAGTCCAGGAAAATCAAGATACTTAGAGAATGCAGGAAGAGAAAAGAAGTGAGGGGCACAATGAAAACTGGAGATAAGGAGGGAATGTCCCTCAAGTATTCAACTGAGTGTAGTTTTTTTCCTCACATGCATGTGAGGAAACCACCTGAGACCAGGGAAAGAACTACCTGAGAAGATTAGAAGGGAACAGTGCCTAAAGTTCATCCAGGGACAGAAATAGTGCCTGTGCCCACAAGCCAGGGAGGAAAACCTCATAATTCAGAGAGCACCAGATACAGTATTTAGATGGATTTCGTTTCAGTAGTGGAGAAAATTAACCCTAGAATAAATGCAGCTTTGGCCCCACTTAACAAAACTTAAATATAAGGTCCCAAAGGATCAAACTGTTTATAAGCCCTTAGTCATGTTCTAGAACAAAGCTGGAAGCATTTGTTTACAGGAATTTTAAAAAGAAATGTTGTGTAATTCACAATACCTGGTGTCCAATCAAAGATGCATGCAATGAAGCAGAAAAATAAAACCCATAATGAAGAGATAAATTGAACAACTGAAAGTGACTTATATATGACACAGGTGGTAAAGAATATTACAACTTTGATTATAACTGTATTACATACGTTTAAGAAACTAGAGCAAAGCTTTAATGTGTTAAATTGAATTTATACTTAAAAAAAACTTCCAATAAAGAAAACACTGGACCCAGAATGCTTCATTGGAAAAAAAAAAACACATATTTTATACAAAGCACTCCAGAAAATTGAAGGAGAGAATATTTTCTAACATATTCTTTGAGTCCAGCATTATTTTGACACCAAAACCAGACATAGACTTGTTTTTTTAAAAAAGAAAACTACAGACTAATATCCTTTATGAACATATATGCAAAAATTCTAAACAAAAGTTTAACAAAATGAATCCAATAGTATATAAGAAGGATAATACATCATGACCAAGTGGGGTTTATCTAATAATGTGAATTTAATTTAGCATTTGAAAATCAATGGTTCTAAAAAAGAAAAACTGGCAAATTGGGAGTAGAAGGGGACCCTATCAACCTGACAAAGAGCACCTATGAAAAATCTACAGCTGACAGCATATTTAATGATAAAAGATGGAAACTTCCCCTCAGTAAAAAGTTCTTACTGCTTCTATTAAATATAGTACTAAAGGTTGTAGCTAGTGCAATTAGGCAAGAAAAAGAAATAAAAGGGATATAGATTAGGAAGGATGACATAAAATTGTCTTTATTCTTAGATAACATGATTATTTGCATAGAGAATCCTAAAGAATTCATAGAAAAACAATTAGGACTAATAAGTGAGTTAAGTAAGGTTGTAGGATGCCAATTTAATATACAAAAATCAGCTGACTTTCCTATATACCAGAAACAATCAGAAATCAAAATTAAAAAGCAATACCATTTATAATAGCATCAAAAATATTACTTACAGATAGGCATAACAAAAAATATAAGACCTGAAAACTATAAAACATTTCTGAGAGAAATTAAAGACCTCAGTAAATGAAGAAGTATATTGTGTTCATAGATCAGAGGATACAATATCATTAAAATGTTAATTCTCCTCAATTGATGTATAGACTCAATGTTTTCTCAATTAAAATCGCAGGAGGCTTTTTTTGTAGAAATTAATGAGTTGATTCTAAAATTCATAAGGAAAAGCAAGGGACCTAGGAAAAAAGCAACTTTGTAGAAGAAGAATAAATTTGGAGGACTTACACTAACTTCACAGCTTATAAGCTGCAGAAAGCGAGAGTGTGGTACTGCTACCGAGATAGACAAGTAGATCAATAGAACGGAATGGAAGATTCAGAAACAGATCTACACATACAAAGTCACCTGACTTGCAACAAAGAGGTAAAAGCAATGCAGTTGAGAAAGAATAATATTTCCCATGAAAGATGCTGGAACAATTTGATATGCAAATGCCAACAAAATTGTGATCCATATATCATACCATATACAAAAATTAACCCAAAGTGATCACAGATTGAAATGTAAAACCTAACACTATAAAATTTCTAGAAGGAAACAAGAGAAAAACTTCATGATATTGGATTAGATGAGGATATCTGAGGTATAAAAACAAAGACATGATTGATAAAATTAAAAAGTGACAAATTGTATTTAATCAAAATTAAGAAAGTGTTTGTGCTTACTGAAAGAAAATAAAAGACAAAGTATACATACTGGGAGAAGACATTTGCAATTCACATGTATGATAAGGGTCTTGTACCCAGGCTGTACTCTCAAAACTCAATACTAAGAAAAAAATTTAAAGAAAAAAGTGGGCAAAATATTTGAACGGACATTTTACAAAAGATAAGATATACAGACAGTAAAGAAGTACATGAAAAGATGCTCAAGTCATTAATGATCATGGAAATGCAAATTAAAACCACAGGAGATACAATTGTACACTGAC